AGGTACATCCCGCAATGCGCTCGTCACGTCTGCACTCCAGGAATTATTTTGGCTGTCTGTCACCCACAATTTCCACATACAAGCAAGCCATGTGCCAGGTAAGGAAAACCATATTCCAGATGCCATTTCCAGGTTGCACCAATCAGGCCAGCCCACATACCTCCATAGTTTTTATAGTGATATTGGACTAACTCTGTCTGATTTACAGGCCTTTGTGTCCACTTTCCCGAATCAAATGTCTTATAGGACTTATTGCTTGATTTCTTCCCAGATCCTAGCATCACAATGGCAACCAAATCCACCTACCGTCCCCTCCGCAAGGCCTACCTATCCTTCTGCAATCAGTATGGGTATTCCCAAGACCCAGTTGATCCTGTCGTATTAGGAAGGTATGCAGCCCTCCTAGCCCCTCGTCTCTCCCATAGCTCCATTCGTCAGTATCTCAGTATTGTCCGCCTGTTCCATGTTGAGGGCGGGTTGGCCAACCCTTTCCCTGGTAACTTCCCACTCACCTGTATCTTGCGGGGTATATCCCAGGTTAAAGGCTCAGCAGTTCAGAGGAAGTTAACAATTACCCCTGATCTGCTTCTGGGCATCCAGGCTCAATTGGAGTTGTCATGTCCTGCTGACATAGTTTTTTGGGCCATTTGTTTGATGCTGTTTTTTTGGACTCCTGCGGAAGTCCAACATGCTCCCCACATCCATGTCACAATTTGATGGTTCCCTCGATCTCAGGCGCAGGGATTTTTTGGTTTTCCCATGGGGTCTAGCAGTGGTCATTCGATGGTCCAAGACTATACAGACCAAGGATCGTCAATTGCTTTTACCCCTCCCAGTGCTTAAGGACCACCCCCTCTGCCCAGTTTCAGCCATTGTCACCGCTTTCAGGAATTCATCCTCACCATCAAAGGGCCCAGCTTCCGTCCTCCCATGCAGCTCTCCTAGGCCATGTCCTTTTCCATGCCCTTTGTTTGTTAGGCGTTTGTCATCGCTATTTTAGCCGTTGGGTCCAAACACCGACCTCTACTCCACTCACAGTTTTCGCCGTGGGGGAGGGGGCTCTTGGGGCTTCACTGTCGTATCCCTGCTGAGTTGATTTGACTGCTAGGCGACTGGAGGAGTGATGCTTTTCGTAGTTGTTTGCATCCGTCACTCCCTCTCCGTCTGCAGATGATTCAGGGGTTTGCTGCGGGCCTCCCTTCCACTCGCCCCAATGTCCCTACCCTACAAGTGTTTTCGGTCTTTGGGGACTTTAGTCTCATAGTGTTTTATAGTTTGTAGTTGTAGTTTGCCAGTACCCTCCCAAAGCATGCTACCTTATTTGCATTTGCTCATTTGCATATCAATGGGAGGGGCTGGGTTTTATAGCTTATAGTATTGTAGTTTAAATAAATTCTACCCCCTATTGGAGCCAAGACACTTGTGTGTTCTTTTCTGACAATCCCTGCCCTATGCTGCCTGCTATGGTCAAGCTGAATTTAAGGTCTTGTTAACTATTAACATGTTTCAAATTCAGTGTAATAATCCGGTCTGCTCAGTTTTTAAAAGTCAATTGTGAACGGGGCCATAGGGAGTCAGTCAAAGGACATCATCAAGGGATTTAGCATGACTACCCAATCAGGAACTAGCTTGACAGCTTATTACCATAAGTAAATAAACATTAATTTGTGGAGTGCAACTACTACAGTACAGCTGGCAACATTGCATCTTTTAGCAATCCTTTTTTCCCACCCAGCCCACCCTATTTTTTACCAAAATTTCAGGGAGCACCTGATATGTATGATATGTATGAATTTTTTTTTTTAGTGTTTGTGCTTTAACATGTTTTCTTGGTTGATTTAACTTCATTCAATTTAAGCTTTGTGCTTGTTTTATTTAATTTTATATGGTTGTGCCACGCTTGTTTTGTCATCGCTTCAACCCATTTAACCTGCTTTATCCAGGGGGACTTTAAGTCTCAGTGTTTTATAGTTTGTAGTTGTAGTTTGCCAGTACCCTCCTAAGGTCAGCTACCTCATTTGCTGGGTTTTATGGCTTATAGTGCTGTAATTTAATTAAATTCTATGCCCTATTGGATCCAAAACACTTGTGTGCGCGTGTTCTTTTCTGACAATCCCTGCCCCATGCTGCCTGCTATGGTCAAGCTGAATTTAATACTACAGCGTGACAAGCAAGGAAATAATCCCTATTGCTTCCAGCATATTTATAGTATACCTGGGCCTTTAAAATGACTGCACCCTTATACCATGGAGGTATAAACATTTATACCTCCATGCTTATACCTACATTCGAGTTTAAGAATACTAATTTTACTAAATCAGTAAATACTAAGACGCATGTGAGGTATCACTGGTGAATATAATAGGTGCAACAATGGAAATAATGATTTAGTCATTGGCATACAAGTATTTAAACTGACTGTCTTTATTTTGAACTGGGATAAGGTTGTATACTAATACTTTTTTTATTGCAAGAAACTATTGTCCCATGCTGTTACAGTGCAGCAACCTCATCTCATCATTCTGAGCTTTTCATAAGTGTACATTAAAGCATTGTCAATTAGCGGGGATATTACTAAAAGAATTGCATAACCATATGAAAAACATAGGGCTTTCCCACTATGGAAAATACAATCGCCCTGAAAATATTACAAAACTGTGTAGATTTTGAAATAAAAAATGATTTGCACGAATGCATTTTGACACAGTGGCATGAAAGTGACTGCTTGGGTTAAACAGCTGGCAAATTGATTTGGTTGAAACCCGATATAAACTTGTTCACCAACGGTGTCTTGGTGAATATGTAAATCTGTTTTAGTTATAACAAGACATGAATATCACAGTCCCCGTTATTTAATTATAGAATACTAATTAACAAAGCAAGTATTTTAACATTCCATAACTTTTCATAACATTAATCATATATAACACAAGCCAGAAATTCGAGGTAACGTAATTGATTGAGTGATTTTAGTGACAGACATCATACGTAAGCCTCTTTGTTGCCAGTATATTCACATACAATGAATAAAGTTGACTGAGGTATATTGTATACTAGAGGGATTAGGGCACAATACTTATCCGCATACGAGTGTTACGTAATTGTCTTTACAACCAGGCGTTTTGGAATTGTCATGTTATTGTAGTTCTGCGATTTCTCTTAGTTCTTTTTTCAACATTTACCCCAGTGAAGATTTATGCTGATGATGTGAGCTTATTGGTTTATCTGGCTGCCCACCGTCCCTCAACACCTTGAGGGACGGTGGGCTGCCACATAATACATTGAATGGGCGTAGTCTTTTCCACGAAACGAAACCCTAACCCACGGTAAATTAGTAACCGTGCCGACCCATAATCTTAATTTTTGAACGACTTCAAACATCGCCATGTCACAGAAATAAATTTGTCGAGATTATTTAGTTTCCACCTCTTTTCCGTCTATTTTGCTGCTCGATTAATTTGTGCTGACATGACGTAACAGCCAATTTGGAATTGTTGAACACTGATGGCGCTATTCATTTCGTGTTTCACAGTGTGAAATTTTCTCAAATATTATTAGGCTAATGAAAAAAAATGAGATTAAGGGTTAGGGTTTTGTTTCTTTTCGTGGAAAAAATGTGGTATATAATAGAAGCTGGAATCTGCAGTAGTTATACATGTATATAAACAGGTCATGTAAAACTGTATGGCATGAAATCAAAACGGCGAAAAACGTTTCAAAGCAAATAATAAATAGTTCGTTCAACTTGA